TTCTCTATCTCTCATCCCCTAGGAACTGAGTACCCCAGGGAGCTGGTAGAATGGGGATGTGGAAACATGTCCCATGCCCATAGCCTCAAAAACAGCCTAATTTATTCTTCCCTTTGCACGTGAAACGCAGGCCTAGACAGAATGTCTGTGTTTGGAGTCCACCAGAAGCCAACCCTGAGACAACGATTCAAGTCTTTAGGAAATAAACAGGAAATACTCTAAGCGGGTGGATATGTGGGAGAGGGAAGGGAAGGAAGTCAGCAAAGAGTTTATTAAGAAGCAGGTTTCCACAGTGGGCAGCGGGAGCTCAATCCCCTGGGTGAACACTAGGGGTCAGTTTAGAGCACAAACCTCAATCATTCCACACAAAGGTGAGAGAGCTGGGGTATTTATCCATCAACTCCCCTTGACTGCCACAGAGGTGCTGAGCTCTGCCCAAACCTGACCAGCCCCTCCATCTGCATTTGGTTTTTCAACTAATTGGTCTGTGTGTGTCTGAGGCTGGTTAATCCACTGGGTACCAAAAGCATAGCACATCAGGCCTGCAGCCAATGACAACATTTAGGGGAAAGAAAATACACACATGGCCAAGTGCAGTGGCTCACACCTATAATCCCAGCACTTTGGGAGGCCAAGGAGGAAGGATCACTTGTGGCCAGGAGTTTGAGACTACCCTAGGCAACACAGCAAGATCCTGTCTCTACAAAAAAATTTAAAAGCTAGCTGGGTGTGGCAGTGCATGCATACAGGCCTAGCTACTCAGGAGGCTGAGGCAGGAGGATTGCTTGAACACAGAAGTTCAAGGCTGCAGTGAGCTATGATCACACCAATCTACCTCAGCCTGGGTGACAGAGGGAGATCATTTCTCTAAAACTAATAAGGCCAAGCATGGTGGCTCACACCTGTAATCACAGCCACTTGGGAGGCCCAAGGTGGGAAGATCACTTGAGCCCAGAAGTTTGAGAATAGTCTGGGCAACATGATGAGACCCTATCTCTACAAATAAATAGAAAAATCATCCAGGTATAATGGACATGCCTGCAGTTCCAGTTGCTTGGGAGGCTGAGGCAGGAGCATCACTTGAGCCCAGGAGGTTGAGGCTGCAGTGAGCTGTGGTAGTGCCACTGCACTCTAGCCTGAGCAACAGAGCAAGAAAAATAAATAAAATAATAACAATAAAGTAAATGAAAATAACATGAAAATTAATAAATTTTTTAAAAAGAAAAGAAAATGTACATATACAGGCTTCAGAATCTGTACAGCAACTAGCAAAATCCACGAGAATAAGCATACGAACATCATTGTGAAGCTTGGAATTCATAATCATTCCATTATATACAATTTGTAGATAATCTTTTCTCACTTATGAAGATTTCTGATTGCTAAGAAAGAATGATAGCCAATGGTGAATTAAATAAGCTATATGTAGGCAAATAAAGACAACAGGAAAGTTACAAAAACTCAAAAAGATTTATAAAACATAATAAATATTTATGTGGCATATGGGTATCATGTGCGTGGGGCTAAGAGCTGCTCTCACCCCCATGTCAGACCTCAGCTCCTCTGAGACTCTGAAGTACCCCAATGGGACCCTGCTTCCTGTGCCCTCAACTTGCAAAGAGGTATTGTCTTGACCCCTGACTTCTTTCCCCACTGTCAATAGCTGCCTCAAAGGCACTCTCGCAGGAATCTCATAGGGAGGAGGACACACCCCACCCTTTTACAGACTGATGCCCCTCAAACACACATATCCAAGAAAAATGAACAGCACCTACGAGAACTGTATACCAATAGTTGCATAATGAGTATACCAATATATGCATAATGAGAGACCCAGAAGGAGAGAAGTAAAAGGATCGGAAAGAATATTTGATGAGGCCGGGTATGGTGGCTGACACCTGTAATCCCAGCACTTTGGGAGGCTGAGGCGGGCAGATCACCTGAGGTCAGGAGTTTCAGACCAGCCTGGCCAACATGTTAAAACCTCATCTCTACTAAAAATACAAAAATTAGCCAGGTATGGTGGTGGGCATGTGTAATCCCACCTACTTGGGAGGTTGAGGCAGGAGAATCACTTGAATTCGGAAGGCAGAGGCAGCAGTAAGCCATGATCATGCCTCTGCACTCCAGCCTGGGTGACAGAGTAAGACTCTGTCTCAAAAAAGAACATTTGATGAAATAATGGTCAAAAACTTCCTGGAATTGATGAAAGACATAAATCTACATATCCAAGAAGCTCAACAAACTCCAAGTGGAATAAAAACAGAGAACCACACCAAGACACATTAAAACCAAACACACACAGCCTCCTCTGTCCAGGCCTCCTGAACACCACCTCCTATACAGACCTCCGTAATCTGACACCTGATCTCCTACCTGAATAGACAAGCATCACTTGATCACTTGGTGGAGCCTGAGTCTGGACAAGGAGGCAGATAAACTAGAATAAACCTCTGAGACTATTAAATTCAAGTTGTGGCAAGTGTTAAAGAAAGGAAACTGAGTGATGTGATAATGACTAAACAGAGGTGCTAGGCAGAAAGGGTCTCCCCAGAAGGTGCTATTGGATCTAAAGGATGAGAGAGAGAGGTGACCTCCAAAGAACCACAGCTTCCCAGGCAAAAGGAACCATGCAAAGGACCTGAGGCAGAAACAGCTTGATGTGAAGGAGAACCAGAAAGGAGACCACAGTGAGTGAATGGGACAGCAAAAGAGATGAGGCTGGAAGTCTTGTTAGACCATAGTGGGAATCTGGATTTTATTCTAGGTGGGGTGAGCAGGCATAGGAACACTATTCAGCAGGATGATGCCACAATCTGATTTCAGTTTTAAGTCCACTCTGGATAATATATGGAGAATGAAACGTAGGGCTAAGGCAGGTTATATTTTCCCAGATGGCCACAATATCTCCCACCCTGCATCCACTTGTACAAGGTCACCTTGACATGCCTCCCATGGAGAGAGGTACAGCCTGTGTCCCCTTTCCTTGAGTCTGGTGGCAGAAGTGACATAGCATAACACCCGAAGCTAGGTCAGAAGAGATGCAACTTCTTCCTGTTCACTTTTAGAGGTCTGGGTGGCTGTCTAAGAATTCTGACTACCCCAAGGCCACAATGCTGGAAGGAAGCCCAAGCCACACGAAGAGGCCTGTGCGGTTGCCCTAGTCCACAGCCCCAGCAACAGCTGGCGTCAATTGCAAGACCTCTGAGTAAAACACCTCCAGATGATTCAGGACCCCCCCACCCCATTTTTTGAGTCACCCCTAGCCTTAGAGTCTTCCCAGCTGAGGTGTAGGGATAGGCACTCTCAACTCTGCCCTGTCCAAAGTGAACCATAGCATCTGTGAGCATCATGTAAACCAAAAGATATCTGCGACAGGTCTCAATCAATTTAGAAAGTTTATTTTGCCAAGGTTAAGGAAGTGCCAGTGACACAGCCTCAGAAGGTCCTGAAAACCTATGCCCAATGTAGTCAGGGCCACTACCTTGATTCACACCTATAATCTTAGCTACTTGGGGGGCCACGGTGTGCAGATCACTTGAGCCCAGGAGTTTGAGACCAGTCTGGATAACATGATGAGACTTCAGCTCTACAAAAATAGAAAAAAAAATAGCCAGGTATGGTGACACATGCCCAAAGTCCCACTTGCTCGAGAGGCTGAGGCAGGACCATCACTTGAGCCCAAAAGGTTGAGACTGCAGTGAGCTGTGGTGGCACCACTGCACTCCAGCTTGGTCCAGTTTTATACATATATATATGTATTTTTTGAGACGGAGTCTCACTCTGTTGACCAGGCTGGAGTGCAGCTGCACAATCTCAGCTTACTGCAACCTCCATCTCCTGGGTTCAAGGAATTCTCCTGCCTCAGCCTCCTAAGTAGCTGGGACTACAGGCACACACCACCATGCCCAGCTAATTTTTGTATTTTTAGTAGAAACGGGTTCACCATGTTGGCCAGGATGGTCTCCATCTCTTGACCTTGTGATCTGCCTGCCTCAGCCTCCCAAAGTGCTGGGATTACAGGCGGTAACCACCACCCCCAGCCTGGTTTTATATATTTTAGGGAGACATGAGAGCAATCAATATATATGTAAGTAAGATGTACATTGGTTTGGTCTGGGAAGGCAGGACAACTCAAAGTGGGGAGAGGGCTTCCAGGTTATAGGTAGACAAGAGACAAACAGCTGCATTCTTCTGAGTTTCTGACTAGCCTTTTCGAATATGCAATTTACAGAGATAGTCACTTATGCCTTAGTCTGGCTTAGTGAAACAGGTGAGGAAGCGATCAGATATGTGTTTGCCTCATGCGAGCAGAGGGACAGTTTTGAGTTCTGTCTGTCCTTTGCTCATAAGGAATTTCCTTGTGGGCAAACTGTGAGAGAGATATGTAGCTTTTTTTTTTTTTTTTTTTTTTTTTTTTTTGAGACAGATTCTTGCTTTGTTGACCAGGCTGGAGTGCAGTGGCACAATCTCAACTCACTGCAACCTCCACCTTCCCTATTCAAGCAATTCTTCTGCCTCAGCTTCCCAAGTAGCTGGGATTACAGGCGCCCCCGCCCCCCAACCATGCCAGGTTTTGTTTTTGTTTTGTTTTGTTTTGTTTTTGTATTTTTGGTAGAGACAGAGTTTCACCATGTTGGCCAGCCTGGTTTTGAACTCCTGACCTCAAGTGATCCACCGTCTTGGCCTCCCAAAGCACTAGGATTACAGAAGTGAGCCACCGTGCCTGGCTAGCTTTTTTATCCTTACAGCTATCTTACTTAGGAACAGAATGGGAGGCAGGTTTGCCCTACACAGTTCCCAGTTTGACTTTTTCCCTTTTGCTCAGTGGTTTGCGGGTCTCAAGATTTATTTTTCTTTCACAATCACGACATGGTTGTTTTACATCACTACTTTTGGGGATGGTTTGTCAAACAGCAATAGTAGTTGGAATTTGGAGGTGAGACTTTAGTGGGGAAACAGTAGCATGGGCAGAGCCAGGAAGAGGCTCGGGGTGGGGTGGATAGTGGGGACCGTCGTTGAAACGAATGACACTACGGCTTGCACCAGGTTGAAGCAGTACTTGGGAGGGAGAGAGGGGATATGCTCAGGTTGCGATTTGGAGACAGACCCAAGAGAATTTCCCGGATGCCATCATCTAGGGAGACTCCATCCAGGGCGGGTAGGTGACAGGGAAGACCAGGGCTCCGGCCTGCGCCACGATCGTCACGTCCCATCGAAGCTGGAGCGGATCCGGGCAGCCCGGAGCCCCTATCCCATCCCCTCCCGGCCCCAGGCAACTACATCTCCCAGCATCGCCCGCTCGGGCCGAGGGAAAGGGAAAAAAAAAAAAAAAAAAAGTTTGGGCAAAGCATTCCCGGAATGTGCTTCCTGCTGGCGCGGGGCGGGGGGCAGGCGGGGAGAGGCCCGGGCGGGGCGGGGAGGGCGCGGGGCGGCTCGGCCGGAGCCCGGGACTCGCACTCGGCTCGGCCCGGCCCGGGCCACAGCATGGCCGAGCCGCTACTCAGGAAAACTTTCTCCCGCCTGCGGGGCCGGGAGAAACTTCCCCGGAAAAAGTCGGACGCCAAGGAGCGCGGTGAGCGGGGATCAGTGAGGGAAGAGGGGGCGCCCGGCCTAGAAGCGGGGTCCCAGGGCCCCGAGGACGGACGGCGGGGAGATCAGGGGGACTCCCCCCGCCCCGCACCCTGCTGCAGACGGGGGTGCCTCGAGCCAGGGGAGGGTAGGGGTCCTGGAATGAAGGGGCTGGGAAGGAGGGGGCGCAGACCGTTATGTGCAGCTGGCCAGGCGTGCCAGCGCTGCAGGCTCCCTGGGAGGCCCGGGAGGGGGCCTCGCCCACGACAGGAAATGGGGCCGTGACTGAGCGCCTGGAGGGTGGAGGAGAGGAGGGGCTGGGAGGCCGGGACACTGGGGCCCAGTCAAGCTGGGCAAGGGGCATCGGGAGCCCTGGAGGCGCAGGATGGGAGATGGGGGGCGTATTCCTGCAAAGGAGAGAGGGGGCGGCCCGTCAATCAGAGTAGCTGCCCCCCTCTGCCTGCCACCTACTAACCAGTGACTGCAGCTGCGCCTGTCTTAGCCCCAGGAAACTGTCCCCTTTATACAGATGGGGAAACTGAGACATGGAACAATTGGGTAACATGCACAGGGCCAGTGACTTTAACAGCTCTTTGGACTATGCTACCAACAGAGACTCTAGTGGGTGGACATCAGAGGTGACCAGAGGAGGAGTTCAGCAGGGTGGCAAGTAAAGAGCTTAGAGAAACAGCTGCGTGGGATAGGGGAACCCAGGAAGGAAGGAGTTAAAGAAGAAGGTCAGATCCTCCCTCCCCCTACCCCCAGGCCTTCCCAAAGATTCCCAAGGTTCCCAGGGCAGGGAGAAGGGCCAGGGATGCCCAAACACAAACACACACAGGAAACAGCCCAGGACATGAGAGAGGAGGGGGGAAGGGGAAGTCCGAAGGCATTGACCGTGGTGGGGTCTGCCCTGGGCTGAAGGACCACGGCCCATCCCAGGGAATAGAGAACCCAGCTTCTGACTCCTGAGCAAGTAGTATATGATGTAGGCTGTGAACTTTTCCAAAAGGCTCCTGGAAGCCTCCCTGGACATGGAAATCACATCCCCCCATTTCACAGGACACTGAGCCTCAGAGAGGGAAGCAACCTGCCCAAGGCCACCCAGGTGCAGAGCTCCATGCCAGGGTTATTGAGAGGGGAGAGGAACTGGAGACAGGAATGCAGTACTATGGGCCCCAGGAAACCTGACTTAGACTCCTGAGGCTGCAGGGACAGAGTCTATTTTTGGGATGCCAGGGACTGGGTAGGGGGTGCTTTAAGCTGGCAACTGAAATCGATATCCTGTGGCTGCCTATTCCAAACAAAACAGCAGGACCCAAGGAGCAGTGACTTACCAGGGGCAGGTCAGGGCCACACACAGCACCCTACCCACTGATCAATTGCACAGGGCTGCTCTGCAGGCAGTGAGGGGCTGGGTCTCACTCCCCTTGCTCTCTGCCAGGCCGCCCAGTCCAGCGCCCAGAGCCCAGCCCTCCAGAGCCAGAGCCCCGGGCTCCCGAAGTGTCCCAGACCGGAGGAGAAGGGTCCCCCAGTCCCGAGGCATCAAGGAGCCCTGCACGGGGAGCCTACCTGCAAAGTCTGGAACCCAGCAGCCGAAGATGGGTGCTAGGTGGGGCGAAGCCAGCTGAGGACACATCTTTAGGGCCTGGGGCACCTGGCAGTGGGGAGCCCGCTGGTGAGATCTGGTACAATCCTATCCCTGAAGAAGACCCCAAACTTCCAGCATCTGAGCCCCCTGGGCCACAGCCAGATTCAGCTGAGCCAGAGGGCCCAGCCCCCCAAGGTAAGAATAAGCTTCACACCCCTCAGGGGAGCACCAGCCTCACAGTCCTCCCCCCAGGAGAGCACCAGCCTCACACATCTCCCCCCAGGGGAGTACCAGCCTCACACCCCCTCCCCCGCAGGGGAACACTAGCCTCACACCCCCTCTCCCCAGGGAAGCACCAGCCTCACATCCCTCCCTTCAGGGGAGCTCCAGCCTCACATCCCCTCACCCCCAGGGAGCACCGGCCTCGCACTCCCATCCCTCTAGGGGAGCATCAGCCTCATATCCCTTCCCTTCAGGGGAGCACCAGCCTCACACTCCCTTCCCCCAAGGGAGCACCAGCCTCACATCCCTTCCCTTCAGGGGAGCAGCAGCCTCACTCTCCTTCCCTTCAGGGGAGCACCAGCCCCACAACCCCTTCCCCCAGGGGAGCACCAGCCTCACACCCCCTACCCCCAGGGGAGCACCAGCATCACATCCTTTCCCTTCAGGGGAGCACCAGCCTCATAACCCCTCCTCCCAGAGAAGCACCAGCCTCACACTCCCTCCCCGGAGCAGAGCACCAGCCTCACATCCCCTCCCTCCAGGGACCACAAGCTTCACACCCTCTTCCCCTAGGGAGGCACCAGCCTCACCCTCCTCCCCTAAGCCCAGGTTCCTGGACACTGAGGTCTGGTCTCCGCACAGGTGCAGCCCCGGCCAGCCCCCCAACCAAAGCGTCCCGCACCAAGTCCCCAGGCCCTGCCAGGCGCCTCTCCATCAAGATGAAGAAACTGCCAGAGCTGCGGCGCCGCCTGAGCCTGCGAGGCCCCCGAGCTGGCCGGGAGCGAGAGAGGGCGGCCCCTGCGGGCTCAGTCATCAGCCGCTACCACCTAGACAGCAGCGTGGGGGGCCCTGGGCGGACAGCAGGGCCCGGGGGCACCCAGAGCCCGAGGATTGGTTACCTCAGCGATGGGGACTCACCGGAGCGTCCAGCTGGGCCCCCGTCGCCCACCTCCTTCCGGCCCTACGAGGTGGGTCCCACAGCCCGGGCGCCCCCGGCCGCACTCTGGGGCCGCCTCAGCCTGCACCTGTACGGTCTCAGGGGGCTGCGGCCAGCACCAGGGGCCACCCCCAGAGACCTCTGCTGCCTACTGCAAGTGGATGGGGAGGCCCGGGCCCGAACGGGGCCACTGCGAGGGGGGCCGGACTTCCTGAGGCTGGACCACACCTTCCACCTGGAGCTGGAGGCTGCTCGGCTCCTGCGGGCCCTGGTGCTTGCATGGGACCCCGGCGTGAGAAGGCACCGGCCCTGCGCCCAGGGCACCGTGCTGCTGCCCACGGTCTTCCGAGGTAGGGCATGTGGCTGCAGGGGAGGGGGGACAGGGACTCCCAAACCCCATCGCCACCCCTGCAGAGTGCCTAGGGGGCTGGGCTGGCAGGGCTCCGGGTGAAAGGTGTGACCTGGAGTGGGGAGGCCAGGGTACAAGAACCTTCAGAGCACACCCAGGTCAGGCCTCCTTGTGTCCTCAGGGTGCCAGGCCCAACAGCTGGCCGTGCGCCTAGAGCCCCAGGGACTGCTGTATGCCAAGCTGACCCTGTCGGAGCAGCAGGAAGCCCCTGTCACAGCTGAGCCCCGCGTCTTCGGGTTGCCCCTGCCACTGCTGGTGGAGCGGGAGCGGCCACCTGGCCAGGTGCCCCTTATCATCCAGAAGTGCGTTGGACAAATCGAGCGCCGAGGGCTACGGGTGAGCACCCACCCCACCCCACTCACCCCGGCTGGCCCCCGGACCTCAGCCCCACTCCAGGACACCCAGTGTACAGATGCCAGACCCCTACCCCCAGACCTGAGCTGCTCCTAGCACCAATCCCAGCCTAGACAAAGGCAGAAGGGCCTCCCTTGACTGTAGTACCTTGGGCAGAACCCGTGGGTCATCCATCCATTTAATAACAAGTCCCAAGCCCTCCTGGAGCTCAGGGTCTGATGGGGAAAAACTATGACGCTAGTAATCCCCAAATGTAAAACTGTAACTGGGACTAGAGTTGGGGGCGGGGGTACCTGGAGTCTGGGATTGTTTAAAACAAAACCTGGGGTAGTCATGGAAATTTTCCTGGAGGAAATGTCAGAGTTTCCTAAGTCAGAGGAGGTGAGAACCAAGACAAGTAGTCTGAGCAGAGGATATATAAGGCCAGGTTGTCCAGGTAATTCCAGCCTCCCAGCCAATGGTGCCTATTGCTGCCTTGGCCCAGAATTCCAATGCTCAACCTGCTGCTCCCTGATTAGTCTGTGGCCCCAGCAAGAAGACATCCTCTCTCTCTTCCCACACCCAGGTAGTGGGACTGTACCGTCTCTGCGGCTCAGCGGCAGTGAAGAAAGAGCTTCGGGATGCCTTTGAGCGGGACAGTGCAGCAGTCTGCCTATCTGAGGACCTCTACCCCGATATCAATGTCATCACTGGTCAGCATGACCCCTCACCCCTGCCTGCTCACCCCATTCAATGCCTCACTTCAAGGCCTTGGGGCTCCTCTGGGACCTCATTCCTCCTATCTGACCTTGCTTTCACCCACCTCCTCTTCCCCCTCATCTGTGCCCCTCCTTGGCCTCAGAAGCCAGCGGTGCCCTGACCAGAGGGGACCCTGTGTTCACAGGCATCCTCAAGGATTATCTACGAGAGTTGCCCACCCCACTCATCACCCAGCCCTTGTATCAGGTGGTGCTGGAAGCCATGGCCCGTGACCCCCCAAACAGAGCTCCCCCCACCACTGACGGCACCCGAGGTCTCCTCAGCTGCCTGCCAGATGTGGAAAGGGTGAGTTGGGCCTGGTGGGAGTGGTGGGATTGAGAGCGGGCTGATACCAATAGAATGCTTCACCCATGTCTGGGTCTGCGATGGGCATGAGCTTGCAGCACCGTCATATCCCCAGGAAACAGGTGCTATTAGCATCCCACTTCATAGATTTGGAAACTGAGGCCCAAAGCAGTTGAGTGAGTCACCCAAGGTCACACAGCCAGGATGTGTCAAAAATGCATGCTGAACCAGGTGGGGTGGTGGCTCACGCCTATAATCCCAGCACTTTGGGAGGCTGAGGTGGGCGGATCACCAGAGGTCAGGAATTCAAGACCAGCCTGACCAACATGGAGGGATGGAGAAACCCCATTTCTACTAAAAATACCAACTTACCTGGTCGTGGTGGCGCATTCCTGTAATCCCAGCTACTTGGGAGGCCGAGGCAGAATCGCTTGCAGTGAGCCTAGGTTGTGCCATTGCACTCCAGCCTGGGCAACAAGAGTAAAACTCCATCTCAAAAAATAAACAAAAATAAAAAATTAAAATATAGGCTGAATACTGGTCTTTCCACCTACAAGGGAGGTTCCTGGCTGTGGAAACTAGACCATTCCCATCTCTCTCTGTGCTTCAATACTTTCCTCTGTAAAATGGGATTCATGGCAGCTCTGCCTAACACACAGGAGTGGGTTCGAGTTCCAGCCCTGCCTTTTCAATGCTTAGCTCCCTTTGGCTTCAGTATCCCCTCCAACAAAATAGGATTATACCAATACCTGATGATTAACAGTCTTAACCCGACCACATCCTCGCTATGAGACCGTGAACCTCCGTTTCCCTACTCTAGCCACCTTAGTCTCCTCCAGGTAGGTGCCAAAGGGTCCTGACTCTGTCTGCTTTACATCCTCTCCCAGGCCACGCTGACGCTTCTCCTGGACCACCTGCGCCTCGTCTCTTCCTTCCATGCCTACAACCGCATGACCCCGCAGAACCTGGCCGTGTGCTTCGGGCCTGTGCTGCTGCCGGCACGCCAGGCGCCCACACGGTCTCGTGCCCGCAGCTCTGGCCCAGGCCTCACCAGTGCAGTGGATTTCAAGCGCCACATCGAGGTGCTGCACTACCTGCTGCAGTCTTGGCCAGGTGAGCTCATGTCAAGGGCCTGCACCACCAATCTGAGCCAGGCTGCTGCAGTGATGCCACTGTAGGGGACCAACCAGTGTCTTGGGCTTGAAGCAGCCTACGCCCCTTCATGGGGTAAACTGGTACCTGGTTGCCTCAGCAACCAGTTCAGATCCAACCAATCTGTTTTGTCAATTTTTTTTTTTTTTTTTGGTAAAGACAGGGTTTCCCAATGTGGCCCAAGCCGGTCTCAAACTCATGCTCTCAAGCCATCCTCCTGCCTAAGCCTCCCAAAGTACTGGGATTATAAACTAAATCACCTTGCCCCATGGAGCCGATCCATCTTTTTTTCTTTTTTCTTTTTTTTTTTTTTTTGAGATGAAGTCTCACTCTGTAGCCCAGGCTGGGGTGCAGTGACGTGATGTAAGCTCACTGCAACCTCCACCTCCCAGGTTCAAGGGATTCTCCTGCCTTAACCTCCCAAGTAGCTGGGATTACAGGCACACACCACCAGACCCAGCTAATTTTTGTATTTTTTAGTAGAGACGGGTTTTCACCATGTTGGCCACACTGGTTTTGAACTCCTGACCTCAGGTGATCCACCCACTTCAGCCCTCCCAAAGTGCTGGGATTACAGGCATGATCCAGGGCACCTGCCCCTATCCAGCTTTGATGCAGTCAGAGGCCCTGCCTCTTGGCATGCCAATCAGAGGCCTAGTTGCCTAAGCAACCAACCAGGTCGGTTGTCACCTCTGTGTATGACCCACCCTTTCTCTCTCCAGATCCCCACCTGCCCCCAGAAGCTCCAGATGTCGCACCGTACTTGCGGCCCAAACGGCAGCCACCTCTGCACTTGCCGCTGGCAGATCCCGAAGTCGTGTCTCGGCCCCGGGGCCGAGGAGGCCCTGAGAGCCCCCCAAGCAACCGCTATGCCGGCGACTGGAGCGTTTGCGGGCGGGACTTCCTGCCATGTGGGCGGGACTTCCTGTCCGGGCCGGACTACGACCACGTGACGGGTAGTGACAGCGAGGACGAGGACGAGGAGGCCGGCGAGCCGAGGATCACTGCGGACTTCGAAGACGACTTCGATGCGCCCTTCAACCCGCACCTGAATCTCAAAGACTTCGACGCCCTCATCCTGGATCTGGAGAGGGAGCTCTCCAAGCAGATCAATGTGTGCCTCTGAGCCAGAGGACGGGGTGGGGCCCTGGTTACTAAGGACCGGGTGCCCAGTTGCTAAGGCGGTGCCCTGGTGACCGAGAAGAGCCAGACCTGTTGCTCAGGTGGAGCTCCTGGTTGCCAGGGAGTTACCGCGGGACCAGTCTCGTGCATGGCCGAGAGTCATTGCTGGTTTCCAGGGCCCAGTATTTGGACACTAGTTGCAAAGTCTGGGGACTGGGGATTTTAGGGACCAGAGGTGTGACCATCTTTCCTAAGCACCAAGGAAAACCTTTTTTGTTGCCAAAAAAGGCAGTTCTTGCGCTTGCTAGGCTGGCCTCTCTTGCCTCCCCTTGGCTGGGGAAACACCAGTTGCAGTGAGCATCACCCTGGCATGGTGAGCCACCTCTAGTGGGTCCTCTTGCTGCTGCCAACCAAATCAGTATTAGCTTTGAGCACTGCACTCTGTTTCTCCCTCCCTTGGACGACCCAAGGACTAGCATGAGGCACTGTTTGTGGGGGGCAGCCCCTATCCTGGGTTCCAGCAGGGATACGGGGGCAGCCTGGGACTTAAGAGAAACAGGTGGTTTCCCCCACCCTTTTTCCAAAAAGACCCCACGATTGGCCTCTAGTCGGCAAATGGAGATAACACAGTCTGGCCTTTCCCATCCCCATCCCCCTGTCCCCACCCGTGAAAAACATTGAGCACTTAAGCCCCTCCCTTTTGGAGGGGGCCCCCCTGAAGTGTCAGGCTGGGGGCAGTCTGGTACGGAACATATTTATTGCCTCCGTGCATATGTGTGTGTGTCTGTGAGGACTGGTGTGCGTGGACACGTCTGGAGCAGGCGTGTGGGGCTCTTTCAGGGACCATGGAGGAGGGAGCAGTTTGCAGTGCCCAGCCATCCTGAAATCCCCAGTAATGGTGCCTCAGTGGGCCCGAGTTCCACTGGGAGGGTATGGTTCCCTCCTGTCTCCCTCTTCTTTTCCGCACCTCCATCTTTGTGGATAATAAATCAATATGCACAGGTCCTAAGACTGAGTACTTCCGCCCACGTGGGCCAGAGTGGTTTATTCTGTCTCCATAAGAGAGGACAAAGGGCACAGCTGGGTCTGCGGAGAGGAAGGCCCAAGAGATCACCAGGGAGCCTCTCTGAGCTTTGACCCCTCCATCCACTCCTCAGGAAAACTGAGGAGTCATCCGGCCTCATGGGATAGGCCCAGGGCTAACAATGATGAGACTCCAAACCAGCTGGACACAGTCCAGGGGCAGGAAGGCTGCCAAGCGTCCTGACCCACAAGGCCCTAGACAGCAATGGAGCCATCACGGAAGTCCGTCCTCCCGATGAGGATGTTTACCACGACTGGGTGGCCGTCTCGGCACTGCTGCTGGGCGTTGTGCAGCACCTCGACCACCTGATCCTCATTCTCCCGTGACAGCAGCAAGCCCCGGGCCCCCAGACCCACGGCTGCCTTGTGATAATCTAAAAGACGAGATTAAGTTAGACGGTGGCAGGGACTGAGCCTGCCACATGTGCAGCCAGCTCAGCAGAGGAACACAAGCCCAGCTGGAACTCAAACAGCCTCCTGTCCTTCCCCCACTTTGCTGAGGCCCCCTCACCAGTGTAGGCCAGACCACAGGCCACATTGCTGCCCAGGCAGGGCACCTGCTCCCGGGAAATCTGCGTCCAGCCAGCATCATTCCCTACCAAGGCCATCACTGGGATCTACAGGAAGAAGATGGGACCAGGCCGCAGCCTTCAGCCTCATGGCTTGGCCAGCCAGAGGACAGAGACCTCTACCAGACAGGGCCTCTGCCAGACAGGAGGCTCCCTCCCCACCTCAGCCCATCCCTGGTGACATCTCCCAGAACCCCAGGTCCTAAGCGTCCCTCAGGGCGGCCCAGTCACCTTGTGTCTGACAAACGTGTCAAATTCGATGAGGCTGTAGCCAAAGGCTCCATCCCCAAATAGGCACCAGACCTGGTGGGGAGGGGACCCAGGATGGTTAGGGTGGATCAGAGCCCAGAGAGCAGCCAGTCTCCCAAATCCAGGGCCTCACCTCGGCATCTGGCCGGCACAGCTTGGCCCCAAGTGCGAATCCTGCGCCAACTCCCAGAGTCCCAAAGGCCCCTAAGAGGACCAAGAGTAGGTGGGTATGAAGGTGTCTGGATGGATGGGGTACCCGTTGCCCCAGGCAGGGGCCCTTCCTTACCAGGATCGAGCCAGCACAGGGGGCCACGGGGCTGTACCAGATGGGCAGCAGTGCCCACGAAGTCCCCACCATCTACCACCAGAATCGAGTTGTCAGGTAGCGTTTCCTCCACCAGCTGCAGCACCCGCACTGGGTTGAGGTGCTGAGCCACAGGTACTGCTGCCTTCTCCCTGCGACAGGACAGCAAAGGTCACCAGGGTTGGCAGCAGGGTCTTCCGGGAATGCCCATCCTACCTCTGTTCCACTCAGCCCCCACCGAAATGTCTGCTCCTTCTGCCGATCAGCTTCCCGCAGCTCCTCCACCCAGTCTGGGGCCCACGTCTGGCCCTGAAGGCCTTCCACCAGCTTCAGCACGAAGGAACCCACATCTCCTGGGGAAGGAAGAGGGCACAGTTGTAGGGAGCTGGCTTCCTCCCGTTCTTCCAGCACTAGAGGCCTCAAAACACCAAGAAGCCAGCAGCAGCATCCGAGCAGACAGATGGGAAGCAGGCCAGGGGTGCTCCTAGGAAAAAACAGCTGAAACACCCCAGAACCTGCCAGAACCACGGAAGGGCAGCCCAGGTGAAAGAGAGGGCAAGGCCCGAAAAACACAGCCTAGGAAGCACAAGGCAGGTGACAAGCTAAGCTGGCCTGGTCCCCTCCCTTTACCTCCCACCCCGGATCACTAAGTCATGTCACTTCTACCTGGGAAACACTCAATGAAGAGCTACATCCACCAAGCACATCCCTCAAATCCAGGCATATGGAAGCACATGACGGACGTTACTGAAGTGAACCAACAAGCAGCCCTATGATGTACTTTTCACCACCCCATTTTTATTTTTGCTTTTTGAGATGGAATCTTACTCTGTTGCCAGGCTAGAGTATAGTGGCATGATCTCGGCTCACCGCAACCTGGGTTCAAACGATTCTCCTGCCTCAGCCTCCCGAGTAGCTGGAACTACAGGCTCGCACCACCATGCCCAGCTAATTTTTGTACTTTTAGTAGAGACAGGGTTTCACCACATTGGCCAGATGGTATCGATCTTGTGATCCACGCACCTCAGCCTCCCAAAGTGCTGGCATTACAGGTGTGAGTCACCATGCCCGGCCTACCACCCCATTTTTGAAATGATCATGGAGGCTCCAAGGTGAGGCTCTCTCGCTGTTCATCTCCACTCCAGGCCTCCTCGTTTCTGTCCTGGTGCAATGGTGCCACTTCTCTGCTTAACACGAGAGTGTCTCGTCGCCTAAGCTACAGGGGAGGCAACATCCTCAGAACGATGAACGAAGTTCAAGTCCAAGAGGACTGAAGTAAGGGAAAGGCAGAGATGTGGTGGGAAGACAGAGAGGCTAAGGGGCCAAGGAGTGTGCTCTCTGTCCTGAAGGCAGTGTGCAGGGTGGGAGGGAACATAATCACATGCACGTTACCAGGCCTCCCTCTGTGTCCACCCCACCATTTGTCCTACAGAAGCATCTGTCAGGTTGGCCGCAGTGGCTCTGGTCTGTAATCCCAGCACTTTGGGAGGCCAAGGCAGAAGGATCACTTTAGACCAGGAGTTCACCACCACCAGCCTGGGCAACATAGTGAGATACCAATTCCACAAAAAAAAATTAAACAATTAGCTTGACATGGTGGTGCACACTTGTAAGTCCCAGCTACTCAGGAGGCTGAGGTGGGAGGATTGCTTGAGCCTGGGAGTTGGAGGCTGCAGTGAGCTGGGATGGCACTACTGCATTCCAGCCTGGGTAACAGAGTAAGACCTCATCTCTAAAAAATTTAAAAAAAAAAAAGTCAGGTGCAGTGGCACACGCCTGTCATCCCAGCACTTTGGCAGGCCGAGGCAGGCAGATCACAAGGTCAAGAGATCAAGACCATCCTGGCCAACACTGTGAAACCCCATCTCTATTAAAAGTACAAAAAAATTAGCTGGGCATGGTGGTGGGCGCCTGTAGTCCCAGCTACTCGGGAGGCTGAGGCAGGAGAATTGCTTGAACCTGGGAGGTGGAGGCTGCAGTGAGCCATCACACTTCTGCACTCCAACCTGGCAACACAGCAAGACTCCATCTCAAAAATAAAATAAAATAAATTTTTTTTTCTTTTTTTATTTTTGAGACGGGGTTTTTCGCCATGTTGGCCAGCATGGTCTCGATGTCTTGACCTTGTGATCCGCCTGCCTCGGCCTCACAAAGTGCTGGGTTTACAGTCATGAGCCACTGTGCCCAGCCATAAAATAAAGTAAATTTAAAGAAAAAACCATTCATCAGTATGAGTGCCAACTATTTGTCTCCGGTTCACTGGTTGCCCTCTAGGACAAGGTCTGGGCCTCAATCATCATACCAGGCTCAAGCCCCCTGCAGCAGAAGCCAGGAGGATAGGAACCAGGAGTGCATATGTCTAAGGGGGGATTGGGGGCTCACCCTGCACAGCCTCCTGGGGCTTCCAGAAGATATCTGAGTTGAGCAACATTTCTTCCCGGTTACGATTGACGATGATGATCTTGCTGCTGCGGCTGAAGACACGCCCATAGGATAGGCGGAAGTCGCACACGGTTCCTGGGGTGGGGGATAGGGATGCAGTGGACAGAGGGCCCGTGTCTTCTTCCTTACTTGATCCAATGTGGTGGACTCAATGCAAAAGAGTCCCTGTTCCTCATGGAGTCTCCCTGAACCTGTGCCACCTGCAGTGACTTCACAGCTCCCCACACCCCTTGAATCTGGGTTGGCCTCATGATATGCTTTGCCAAACAAGACAGGGCAAAGGTGGGTTCTGTTTTCCCAGATGGCCATAATATCTCCCACCCTGCCTCCACTTGTACTAGGTCCCCTTGACATGCCGCCCATGGGGAGAGGTGCGGCCTGCATCCCTTTTCCTTGAGTCTGGTGGCAGAAGTGACGCAGCATGACACCTGAGGCTAGGTCAGAAGAGATGCAGTTTCTTCCTTGTTTACTTTTACAGGCCTGGGTGGCTGTCTAAGAACCAAGGCTGCCATGTTGGAAGGAAACCCAAGCCACATGGAGAGGCCTGCATAGTTGCCCTAGTCTACAGCTCCAGCAACAGCTGGCGTCAATTGCAAGACCTCTGAGTGAAGACACCTCCAGATGATTCAGGACCCCCTGCCCCATTCCTGCAGACTCAACTTCAAGAAGCCATACAGCCTCCACTCTCTCTCTCTCGAATAACCGCACTCTCCCAGCCCTAAAGTTTTCTCATCCTTCACCAAGTGGGCTGGCCCAGGCTGGCCTGCTGGAGGATGAGAAATGTGGGCGGCATGGAGGCAGGGGTGAAGACCTCTGTGACCCCAGCTGAGGCCATCCAGACCAGCTGCAGGCCAATCCCCAAACAGGTGAGCGAGCCCAGCCTAGATCAGTACAGCTGCCTTTCTGCCTACCCAAGTGCAGACTCATGGATGAGCCCAACCAAAACCACAGCTACCACCTACCTTACAGGTGGGTCTTAAGAAATCAGAAATGCATTTTCAGCCATTGGGTTTGAGGATGGTTGTTACAGTGCAGTAGCTAACTGATACACCTATAATGCGTCTGGTGGGGTTCAAAGCACTTTATGTAAAAATGTGTATCAAGTACTGTAGCTGCCCACTAGACATTCATCCTCAGCTGGGTGATAGGATGAGGGGGTTCCTGGGGGAAGGAGGGAAAGGAAGAGGCTCAGGCCCACCTGCTAGGACAATGACATCCGCCTTCTTCAGAGCCGCGCTGCGGTTCTGCCGTATGTGAAGGGGGTGGTTTCGGCCTAACAACCCCCGTGCCATCCCCCCGAGGAAGCAGGGAACACCAAGGGTCTCCACAGCAGCCCTGGGAGTCCAGACAGAGCAGAGGT